TCTGGAATTGCACTTACGTCAGGTTGAGCTGAAGGAGAGCAGCAGAGGCAGTAAATAGACTGGAGGAGTAAACCAAGACATTGCCATTCTCAAAATGAAAGTAAGATGAAGATAATTGTATCACAACATTCCAAGATCATTCAGCTTTACCAAATTTATTGAATTTTGTTTGTCTTACTCAATGTCCTGATAAAACGCTCTCTGCTTTCGCCAAAGTAGGTTGAGAACACTTAAAACCAAAGGTATTGATTGTCTCTCTGCTTCTCTCTTGAAGTCAAAGCAACCAGAATCTTACACGTCATATAACTATGTAAGTTGATAGGTGCATGTTTCACAACTTTTGCAAATTCATATTTGAATCAAGCAAGTGGAGAATTTGTACCTACTATAAAAGAACTATGCCAAGGTCAATTTTCCTGATCAATTCACAATAGCTAATAAATCACTTGGAGGTTTAGGATTGAAATTTATAGAAACTGAGATACCAGGTCCGATCAAACGACCAAATGAATTAAGACTATTCTCCAATCATTTGTTTTCTTCTTCTTCTCCATGTATAGCTTGTGTTGATGGACTAACACGTGATGAAGGAGATCTTCAAAAGAGGTGGAAGATCAGTGTTATTTTGAAAAGTTGGGTTGAGAAGCTCTCAATGAGGTAGTACATGAAATGAAACCATGCATGGAGACAAAGTTATTAACGGGATCACTGTATAAACTTGTCTCAGTTAAGCATTCAGGTTGTTATTTTCAATAGGGATTCTGTTTGGCAAATATACTGAGCATGTGCTGAGGATTAATTCCACAAGCCAGGGATGGGCGCCTTATATAGGTGTCCATCTCGGTGAGTTACAAATATGGTAATCAGAGGAGTTGGTACAACTGGTTGGATCTGGTGAACATTGAGATATGGAGAGGATGCCCAGATCCGGTATAACAGGATCCGGTTTACAAAGAGTAGAGGACAATTCCGGTCTGGATTCGTCAGAGGTGAAAAGACAAGTTACATTTTGAAAGCACACAAGATGAGTGGAAAGCACGCTTACAAAAGCGTGAGAGAAAAGAAAGTGGAACAATAGGAAACAGAGATATTGGGATATCACAGGGTGGAGTTGACAAAAACTCAAATGTAAAAGTCCATTTGAAAGACTCAGGGCACATACAAAAGAAGTGATGAGATGACAACACAAAATGGTTCAAAACAAAAGAGGAGATAGAACAAAACATTACAATAGCAAAAGTTGGCCAGGAAAAGCTATTTAATTGACACGCAAAAATAAAAAGCAATATGGCTAGAAATCCGAGAAAAGAAAAAGAAATATGTATGTAGGACCAGAAATCTGAGTGTGGAACTGACCGACGGAGGGACCAGAACTCATGCAAGTGGTCCATCTTTTCAGTATTTAGATTGTACAAGTCCCATCTTCAATAACCCCCCATCCCAACTTCAACCCACATCACCATTAGTTCAACACCACACTTGATCAACACCATTCTTCACCTCAATTCACCATACACCACATCACCTCTAATGATATCACTCAATTGAGCCGTCTATCTAAATGATGAGAAAGCTACTTATATCTATTGTTCACTAAAAAATCAATCACACTGGTCAATAAGCAAAACAAAAATTCAATATACAAAAAAGTATTTCATCTTTTTGAAATTAATCAAATCTTCAGACAAGAAAAGTATGAGTAAACAAGTAAATCAATCGCTGGTTCTGGAACTAAAAACAAATCAAAAGATGTGAAAGTTGAAGCAAAAGTGAAAGTTGAAAAGTTGAAACGGTCAACAAGATTTTGGCTGCCAAACAAATTATGGCTTTTCTGTACTCTTAGGTCAACTTTTTGATAAAAGTCAACTTGAAACAAAAATCGACTTTCCAGGGTCGGAAAGTTTGTACCTTTCAAAAGGCACAGACTTTTGTAAGTCAAACAAAACGTGCCCTTAGCCTCCTTGGGCTGGGGATATCATCTTCCTGCTCTTTCCATGAGCTCACCAAGGATTTTGTGCCCTCCGTGCAACCACACATGCACAGGATCTTGGTGCATATTGTACAAGTGGAATCATTGAACTCCACTCATCCCCTGCTGAGCTACATAGATATGAAGTGTTGTATTTTCCACATGTAGCTTGACTAAGTTGGGGGACTGCTCACTATAGAACCAAAGAAGTCCTTGACCTTAGTCAAGCTACATGTCAAAACTACACAAATGCAACTTGATGCAGCTCAGTGAGGAAGCAACGTACAAGGATGCTTTTAATTGTACAATATGTAGGTACAGCATGCGCATATGTGGCTGAGCAGCTGGCAGAAAATCCTTGGTGTGCTTGCCAAAAGGAGGAAAAGAAGATCCTCTCTACCAAGAAGAGCTTAAGCATTCAGGCCAAAAAGAGGACCTTGGGGGTAAGTCCCTCTGGCAAAGACATCTGATTTGATTTGTTGATTGACAGGTGTTGAGCCTTGAGGGACTTTATTAAGTTAGGTGTTTTTCCATATGTAGATGGAGAGATGTGTGAATGAAAATTAAAGGAAAATAAAAGAAATGCAGATTTTCTTTGGTATGATCAACTGGGTCATAAACAATGAATCATCTTAGGACATATGATACAATTGACCGAGGTGCAAAAACCTCGGGTAATGAAAACAAAGAATGGATCGGTAGGACAGAAAAGCGCAAGTCCCATCTCGCCCAAAGTCTCCTGGTGCCTCCCATCCTCTCCGCTGCAGACTGGTACAGCTACTACGCCAAGGGCAGTATGCAACACACTCAGGCAGTACTTCCTTGTCAAGTCTTTGTCGACTCAAACCGAGTTCTCCCGCGACGCGCAGTCAGAAGCAAACTACTGCAAATCAAGATAAGTCAACACGATCATTCCAAAAAAATCATAACTACTGAACTCAAATCAACTTACGCCGTCGAGTTTATAAGTCTTGGCCTCCTTTTATGAAATAATTTTATGAAATAATGCAGTATTTCGTTCCCCCGCCGACTTGACCGGCACTTAACAATGCCTCTCTAGCGCAAGATTTGTAAACCCCGCGAAGTGGGATCTTTCCAATTAGCTCAAGAGATCCAGGTATGTGCGCAGTGAACAGGATTCTGACACAGTTACTCGTGATCCGGCAGTGGGAAGATGAGGTGTTGAGATCTCTTCGCATATAATCTGGGAGATATGTATTCTGAAGGAATCGAGAGTTTTGGATGGACATTATGTCAACCAGCAAGTCAACATTTGATCATCAGTAAGCCGATAACAACATGAAAACCGAATGAGCGTACCCCATTCGCCCAGAATTGGTGAGATTTTTTTTTAGATTGAGGCGGTAGTGACGAGGCATACATGTCGCAAGCGTGCGTACAATCTCACCGAGAGGTGCACTAGGAGGTTCACCGGTTTCGATAATCTTGATGTGTCGGACCCGAAGAAGCCAATATATATTCTATGTTGATCCACGCGACTTGATATCTGAGTGCGAAGGTCAGCTTGAAAGAGCCGTTGACTCAGCCCATGATCAAGAACTCCGTATTGCAGTAGCTGAAAGGAGGTGGCGCGAGCCGAAGAGTTGTGAAAGGAGAGAGCAGTGCCAGAATGTATGTATCGACAGTCCCAGCAGTCAGCCTTTTCTGTGATGCGCCAAGTTATCCGTGGATGTGCAAACTTGAATATCGGGGTAAATAAAAGGATGTAGAGAAATTTGAACATTATGTACATCATCGAACGCGCGCTGCGGCGGATATGGCCGGCCAAATCAGATGAAAAGGTGGGGGATGGCGAAGCGCATGGTTCCTTTGCCACTAACACACAGTGCATAATTCAGGCCCCACTGGCCGATGTCATATCAGCTTTGTCACATTGGTAATGAGCTCATTGACTTATTGAGTTTAAAGGAACAAATAGATAAATGGATAACGATATCAAAGGCTTCGTTATCATTCATCTGTCGTCTTGCACAGTCAAACGATCATACAATTATATCACAATCCTTCCCCCATCGATCTGAAAGGAAGCAGCGGTCTCATGGATGGTTCGATGGGCACGATCTAGTACGACGATGACTCCAGTAGCAAACGAGTCACCGACCGGCCCATATATCTCGAATGCTGGATCCTTGAACAAGCAATTAATCAGAGTCTACGTAAATTACGACATCGACCTACAACGAGTTGCGTGCATTATTATAACTATCATCATATTCCTCTTCCCCTCATTCATCGCCGATTTGCTCCACATTTTGCTCGCCACCGCTTACGCAGGTACATAGCAAACCACCTGCGAGAGATGATCAATGTCACCAATGTTGTTGAGTTGCCTGCAGACTTGCAGCACGAACCATATGATGGTATGGATTTCCTCATCGTCGACGAAGTCTCGAGGCCCGAATGTCAGATGTATTTTATCCAGCGAGAGGTGGGGGATGGCTCCCACTACTGTGTCATCGCGTGATTTGCATCCAAGCGTATGGCAGAGCCAATCTTTATCAATGGCGATCGAGACAACCTATCGAAAGTGTTCCCGCGTAGGTATGTTTGCCATAATTTTTCTGCCAGGATTACAAAATCATCTCCATTGTCTGTGCTTGGCTCACTATTCGCTCTTAAACTTCGTTACATGGGCGAGTGAAGACTCATCATGCCCCGATAGTAGCTTTGTCTGTTCAAGGACGAGTCATCACTACAAGCCAGAGACGTTGTTCGAAAACACACCGCTTGCTCGAACAGATCCCCAAACACAACCTCAATCATGTTTCGTAATCGGAAGGGAGCGCAAAATGAAGATACAAGTTGACCAGTCTGGCATTGTGGTCGGGTGCGCTGAACTACCAAAAGGGCCATTTATTCGAGTTTTTATTGGCGCTACTGGTTGCGGCGTTTCCTCTTGATCTCCTTTAATTTAATCCATTTACCCCTGTACTGCCTCTTTATAGTTGCAATTGAGGTGTGTGATTGTACAGTTCTCCAGTGCTGTCTCTGAAATTTCTTGCATACATTGGTTTGATCAGAATGTGGGATTACTCCATTGACTCAAGCATTTGTCTGTCAATTGTTATCCAAAGACCTGGCAGTAGTAGTATGAACAACATGGAGTCACTGAGGAATTTGCTTGATTCAACAACCAAGTTTTGATCACTATGAAGCCATCTTGGTTTCTTATGTTGGTCGGATCAGAATGTGAGAGTACTCCCTTGCCTCAAGGATTTGTCTAGTCTATGTGTTTACAATAGTGTTTTAGACATTTGCCAGAATTTGGAGAAAAGGACCAGATGTCTTGAATATGCACCGCACAATGATTGTCAACAGACAGGCTCAATGGGCTTGACCGTTCTAAACTCACATGAAAAATTGTTCACACAGTTAGTTCCTCATACTTCTCCAATTGACATTTGCAATATTGACTCCCCACCACTTTGGGTTATTCAAGCTCTCAGGTCAAATAGTGCATGCAAGGACCTTGAGTGGTTGCAATTGAAGGTCTTTCAGAACATGGATATTCTGATCACAGGCTATTGTCTTTGTGATGCTGTATGTTTAGAGGCCTATACAGACATGCACTAACAATTCCTGTTGGTTTCAGACACATTTTCTTCCTCATGTACAATGTTGGAGTAGAAGATCCAGCCTTAGTCAAGAATTTTGAAGGTTATGGAATGTAGTCTCATTTCAGACATCAATGTGGATAACTGGAATTATTGGTGAGCAGAATCAGGGTTTGGCTCAGATCAACAAATCATTTGTAATTATCTGAATTGACCTCCTTGCAGGATATGATGACCAAAACTGATAATCAAGGCGACTGAAATGATTCAGGCTTATTCCTCCTGTGTAGGAGAGAATGATGCTTGTGCATACATGAGTTGCAGAACGCAACAGCAATAATAGTCACATCAGCATCAAAATCTAGATCTACTTTTTTTATTTTACTACATATCAATTTGGCTGTCTTGTGTTACCCTGCAGTGTGAACATGTAGGGTTTCCCAATGTGAAAGTGTGATGCAGGGCTGTGAGAACAATGCGTCCCTGAGTGGGTTTGAGTTGACACAAATGTTCCAGTAAACAGGAGTTTGCGAGATAAAAATGCAAAAACTTAGAGTGCACGTCTGAGGATCAAGGAGTGTTCAAAGGAAATGCTATCACAAAGAAGTCAAAGAAAACATATGCAAGACATAGCTACTGCTTTAAAGGGCTGCAACATCAATCATACAAGGTGACCATGTATGACACCTGTGTGGTTTGTGACAATGATTGAAGATTGGCAAGTAATGGGTGATCTCCTCGTCAGTCAATGTGGGTTGTTCAGTTGTGGTTTGCTGTGGAGGAAGTGAAGTTCCACACACCATTCTTCCAAGTATATAGAACATGTTTTCATTATAGATGTCCTTGATATCTGGTGTTAAATCCGTCCATTACGTTCCAAAATGCTGATTACGGTTGCAAAATCCCTCAGATTGATTGCGTGGAGGCACTAAAAGTGTGCGTCAGAGATGTGTATATGGACCTTAATTTATGATAAGGTGAAGACTCACTATTAGTGACTTTTGTACTTTCCAGGCTATACTTGAGGAAACATTGATAAATGTTCCTCTTGGTACGGATACTTGCTTCATGCCTGTAATATTCATAACAAAATTAAGTCAGAATGCGAAAATTCCGTGTGATTTTGAGCTGCATGACTATACATACAAGAATTCATTGACAGTTCTCTCACTGCAGTGGGCAACAAATGCTAGTAGCTTCTTGCTCCTATGGTACATTGTCTGGAGATGCTTCAACTCCCTTTGGACATCAGTTGGTATGCGGTTAGAGGTCTTCCTGTCTTTGTTTGCAAGTAATTCATCTATAGCAGATTCATCAAGATCACATTCTTCATAGTTTTTCAAATTGATATGATGTGGGTCAGTGTGTCTGGGCTGTAAAGGAGGGGGAAGTTGAGTTTTGGATTTCCCACGGGTTTTGACTTTAGATTCTGGTTTATCTTTTGAAGTATCACTTTCTGAGTCAGTGTCTTCTTCTTCATCTTCTTCATCTGGAAATTCATATTCTTTGTCCTCGTCAGTATGATCTGTGTCAGAGTCAGAATTAAGCTTGGTATTGGTGGTGGTTTGACGGTTTTGATGTTTGCGTGTGTTAGTGGTTGTGGATGGTTCAGTTCTTTTCTTTTTGTTAGTGCTATTCTTGTTATGTACACGGGAGCTGGTGGTGGCTGTGGTGTTTGTTCAACGTCTAGATGTGCGGCATGGGGGTGATGTGGGCTGCTCAGGGGAGGCTGCACGTTTTTGTTTGGAAGAAGCGCGAGGAGGCATGATGTGTTGAGTTTGTGTATTTGTTGAAATGGAGTTAAGGAGGTGTAGTTGTTTAGTTGAAGTATGTGTAGAGTTTGTGTTTTGGTTGAAGTGGGGTTAAGGTGTAAGTTGGGTGATTAAAGTTATTTGAAAGGGAGATAAGGTGTAGGTGTGTGTTTTCAATGGTAAAGTGTATCTCACATCAAAGGTCGAGGTGGCGGTGTGTTGCAATTTTGTGGATTGACAAGGTGTGGATTCTTGGCTTTGATTGAGATGAGTCACCAAGTAGTCATCCGTGCAACTTGTGGTTGAAGTTGTATACACGTGATCATGGGATTGGGATACATACCAAGGCCCGGTGGATTTACATATAAGTTAAGTAGCTTGCATAGCTTAAGTGTACATGTGTACATTAGCCACCAAACCATGTGGGTTTGTGTCTATCGCGGTGTGTATACACATGTGTATAAGCATGGGTGTACACCGGTCAATACTTGTGTGTACCGGTCAAGTCTGGCTCGCAGCGCTGCTAGACGGTATTTCAGAAGTGCAACTTGACATTTCCGTGACCAAGCTAGGTAGCTAGAGCCGCAGCCGCTTTTTTTTTCTCACACAACTTAGTAGCTGAAAGCGAAGTTTTTTTTCGCAGCGCCTCGCAGCGTTTCAGGCCAAAAAAAAACTTTTTTTAAATTTATTTTTGGGCAAGGTAAAGGAAACAAAAGCAGATCAAGAAATGGTCATCTTAGGTAAGGACTGTTGAGAAACCTAAAATTAAACGTTTTGTGATGTAAAGACCGTAATGAAAACATAAAACATAAAGAAAAATCAAATAAAAAGACATTTCAACAAACTTGATGTAATGTAAGGACTGTGATGAAA